GCCTTGCCAACTATTACCACCCATTCATTCGCAACTTTTCCGAGATCTCTTACCCTCTCCACGAACTCACCCGCAAGGACGAGCCTTTCCATTGGAACGATCGTCGCCAACAAGCTTTCGACTTACTCAAGCAAACCATCACCACGGCCCCTGTCCTCAAGATCGCCGACCCCACTCGCCATTTCTATGTCACCACTAACGCCTCCGACTTCGCCATCGGAGCCGTACTGTCCCAACATTTCCCCTGCGACACCGCCGAGACCCCCTCCATCAAGGGCTCCACCTGGCGAATACCCTATCGCCTTCGCAAGCGAGAAGCTCTTTCCCGCGGAGATGAATTACCCCTCCAACGAGAAGGAACTCCTCGCCGTGATCCATGCCCTCACAGTCTGGTGCCCGTACCTCGACAGGCAATACTTCACCATCCGCACTGACAACACCATCGTCTCCTCCATCCTCTCCAAGAAAGATATCACTCCACGSCAAGCCCGCTGGCTAGACTTCCTTGCCCAGTTCCCATTCACCATTTGCCATACCCTCGGCAAAAGCAACCGCGTTGCAGATGCCCTCTCGCGACGACCTGACCACAAGCCCCCCGAGAAAGTCTACGCCACCATGACTCATATTCAACTCCTTCCATCACTTCATCACCGATACACCCAAGGCTATCTTTCCTGCTCAGACTTCGCCACCATTTACAACAAGCTCCGCGATCTTGACTCTGTTCCCGACTACTCCCTTCACAACAATCTCCTCTACATCATTACCAAAGGCACTCGCCGACTTTGCATCCCCGACGCACGAGGCCTCCGTACTCAGCTCTTGGCCGAGCACCACGATGCCAAGACTGCAAGGACATCTCGGTGTCCAGAAGACCTTCGACACCATCTCCCGCTACTTCTACTGGCCTTCCCTACTCGCCGACGTTAAGGCATATATTCGCTCGTGCCCCACGTCTCAAGCTGTCAACCTCTCAAACCGGGTCAAACCCGGCAAGCTCCAATCATTACCCATCCCAACTCACCGGTGGCAGTCCATCTCCATGGACTTCGTGTGCGGCCTCCCCAAGACCGACCGCGGGCATGATTGCATCTACGTCATTGTCTGCCGCTTGACCAAACGTGCCCACTTCATCCCTTGCACGACCTCGCACAATGCCAAAGACGTCGCCACGCTCTTCTTCGACCATGTTGCTCGCCATCACAGCCTCCCCGAGAACATCATCAGTGACCGTGATCCTCACTTCCTCTCACAATTCTGGAAACACCTCTTCACGGCCTACGGAACCACGCTCAAGTATAGCACTGCATTCCACCCACAGACCGATGGACAAACAGAGAAGATGAACGATACACTCCAAATAATCCTGCGAAAGTATTGT